CCCCACCGGCACCCCCTCCCTATTTACATTCAAATGAACATATCCAAGAACAATGGCATGTAGGGTACCAGATTACTGCTCATTAAGCGGAACACGCTAAAGTAACATGCGAGCTAGACCTTGTTAGTATTTAAAAGGGGAGAGAGAAAGAAAAAAAATAAAAGCCAGAAGAAGCTCCCCCAGCCCCTGCTGCCCTGCCCAACCACACCGACGGGGCGCGGGGCTGCCTCGGCACCCCTTACCTTAGCCCGGCTCCGACGAGACGCATCCAAGCAGCTCGGTGCGGCCGCAGTCACATTTTGATAGCAAACATCTTCCCGAGCGTCAGCTCACCGCCTCGTACATTTAAAGCTGACATCACATGAAGTCACTTGGAGCAGGATGACATGGGGATGCCACCATGGATCTTCCCCGAGCCCAGGCGCCGGGCTGGAGCGCGGTGGGTTGGGGCAGAGAGAGGAAGAGAAGCCCCCCCCCCTCCTCCACGCACGATTTCCTTCCAGTTTAAGACGCTCAAATCGCTCGTGTGCGAGCTGGGTTTTTTTTTCCCCTCTCTCTCTCTCTCTCCCTTCTTAAAAAGCAACTTGCAAAGCAGAGGAATCGTTTTGCATGTGGCAAATTAGAAGGCAAGTGCGATTCACAAGTTGGGTGGAAAAGAGTGCTCCAGTTCTCGCTGGGGTTACAGGAGCCTCTCGGAGTGAGCGTGAGGATTTTTTGCTTTTTATTTCTTTCTTTCTTTTTTCTTTCTTTTTTTTTTTTTTTTTTTTTTTTAAGAAGGGGGAGAATGAATTTTTTTTTTTCCTAAAGCGACTACCACGCAACCATGCTCGAGTTATTTTGGCAACCCATCTGCAATCAGCTCCGTTGCAACCGAGCTGGAAGATAATTAATAAATTGTCACTTATCTGCGAGCCTCCCCAGCATGTATAAATTAATAGCCAACCCATTAATTAGGACGGTGTATTAATGTTAATTAAACTAAGTTTAATTCCACCCCCCCCCCCCTCCTCACAGAGTGGCTGGTGATTAGCCTTAAATAAACGCGGAGGGGGTCGACTCCGGGGTTGGGTTTGTGCTGCTTAAAAAAAAAAAAAAAAAGAAGAAAAAAAGGGAAAAGTAAAAAGGGGTAAAAGAGAAAGGCGGCCGTGCGCTGCGACGGGAGCTTTGCAAGCGCTCACCCCGTGAGATGCCCGAATCCCTGGGCGTGCAAGCGGGTGCATCTCCCTTTCCCTTTTAATCATTTTCTTGCCCCCCTCCCGCTCCCCCCTCTCCAAATATACGACATTATTGCGGCCGGGTGCCGGGCTTCCTTCCTTCCCTTCTTCTCTAATTAGAAGGAGTTGGGGCGGGAGGGGAGGCTTCGCAGAACGCCGCGATGTGAGGAGCGGAGCTGGGGAGCCCACCTGGGGGAAGGGGCCCGGCCCCGCCGGACCTCTCGGGGCCATTCAGCCCGAGCGATTCTCCCCCAGCGATTCACAGCGCTCCATTCTCTTTCACTGGGAGCCACTATAGCGCTGCGTGGAACCTGGTTTTGTGTGTTTCTAAAATAAAGGGGAGGATTAGCCGGGGGAAGGGATTGGGGAGGGATGGGGGGAGTTGGGGGGGGAGCGAGGGTTTTAGATTGAGCCTGGCTAGAGGTAAAGCAAGCGATGGAAAGACTCATATATGTGTACTTATATATATGAGACTCATATATATATATATATATATATATATATTTTTTCTCCTCCCTCGCACGCCTAAGAAAGTTTGGAGGAATTCGGTGCTTTTATGCGGTTCTGACAAAGCCGCGCCTCCTCTCCCCGCCGGGGCAGCTCGCTGGCGGCTGTTTGCAGACGGCTTTTTCACCTGCGAACCACAACACGCTAAAGAAACAAACTTTGAAAGCGGCGGCGGCGGCCCGTGAGGTTCCCGACGGGCGGAGCGGAGCGCTGCGCCCCGGGCTCGGGTGGGACCGCCAGCATCGAGGGGTCATCCCCCATCTGCAGCATCGGTTGTCGGCGTCCCCGGAGCCGACGTCCCTGCCCTAGCGGTGATTGTAAGGGATGGAGAGAGCCGTCCCGCTTTTTGGGACGATCCGCTCCCGACGTTTGGCTGCGGGAGAGCCCCGAGCCGGGCGGCGGGCAGGAGGCGGCGGGGCTCCTCTCGCTGCCGGGGCTCGTCGGCTTCAGCAAAGTATTTAATTAGCCTCCACAAACTTCTTTTCCTCGCCTGCAGATTATACTGAGTGGAGGGTTGGGAACTATTTTACACCTTGCCACTCACATGTTAATTAATCTCTATCTAACCCTAATTGCAGTTTATTCAAGCACCGCTCAACAGCTCACCCACACAATAAACACTGGGGCTGCTTTTATCCATATTACTCCCCGCTCACACGTTGAGTAATTAACTCCAGTACCAACTAATAGTGCAAACAAATATTTTCTGTAAACGAGATGATTTCGGGCAGGATAAAAGAGGGCTGCGGAGCCGGGGCCGAGAGTTCTCTGCCAGCTTCCCCAAGCCTCCCTCGCCCTTCCAGGGCCGTCGTTCCCCGGCCCGGCCACTCTCCGCGCCCCTCCCCGCTCGGGGCAGCGGGACCCGCAGGCCTCGGGGCTCCCCGGGAGCGAGGAGCCGCGGCGGGGACCCCGAACGGCAGCCCCAGGGCCGCTTCCTTCCCACGGCCCCGGAGGAAGCCCTCGCGGAGCCCCCGCGGAGCCCGGGGCTGGCCCGGCCCGTACCGCCGCTCCCGGCCGCGACGTGCCCGAGTGCCGCATGCCTTGTGCGGCCGGGCTTTGGGATCGCGGTTAAGACCCGGGCATCGAAGCTCAGTATTTTAATTGAAATCGCAGGTTTAGGCACAGCTGGAGGCTGTCTCTATCGATTCGACTTCTGCTGTTCCGGCAAGCGTATTAAAAATGACTGACTTTAATACAGCTGCCCCAGTCACGGCGCCCTGCCCACCGCCGCGCCTTCTCCCTCTTTGCACGGCGAGCTCCGGCCGGTGTCGGCGGCTCTAGGGGGCCAGGGTGCAGCACGTCGGCTGGGTTGCGGCGTTCGAGCCGCGTTCGCCTCTCCGTGCTGGGCTGCTCCCCGTCGGAGGCTTCGTCCCTCACCTCATCCTTCACCCCGACATTTGGAGGAGAAGAAATGGTTTGAGGATTTCTTTCTTTCTTTCTTTCTTTCTTTTTTTTTTCCCTGCGAAAAGCGCACCGCCAAGCCGTTTGCAACACACACGTTTATTTACAGTTGTTATTTACAGTTATTATTATTATTTCTGCGTCTGCCTCTCGAGAAAAACGACTCCCGGTGCCCGGTCCGACAGGGCGGCCCAATTCCATGCCCAAACCTTTCTGCCTTTCCTCCCCTTTTTAACCCAAAGCCAGTTTTCACGCTGGGAACGGCCTCACCCCGCAGCCCCGGCCCCAAACGCTCCTCGGGCGCTGACATCGAAATCCTCCAGCGTTGCCCCCGCCGCCCCCAGCAGCCGAACCAAGGGACCGCGTCCCACCTCCCCCGACGGCGGCCCGGCATCCCGCGGTCCGACCCCTCCGTTCTGCTCCGCTGGGAGATAACCTGGGATCCTCCTCGTTATTTAACGTGGCAGCTGCTTAAACTCCACAGCGGAAGCTGCCCGAAGTTGTTAGCGTTACACTTCGATCTCTTTTGGAAATGGTGGCTTTGATTTCTGCGCTGCTTTGCTTTAGGTGAATATATACACAGAAGTGTACATATTTTTTTTAATGCCTTTTTTTTTTTTTTTTTTTTTTTTTTTAATAGCGGAAGAGGAAAGGCACCCAGGTCAGCTGCCAGCCCAGATTAGAACCGAATTAGAACAGAATCATCAGATCCTAGATTACCTCGAAGTGCAAGGAGCACTGAGTCCAACTCCAGGCCCCACATGGGATCACCCCAAACCCCGTGGCTGAGAGCGGTGCCCAACCTCCCTGAACTCCAGCAGGTTGGTGCTGTGTCCAATGCCCTGAGAAGCCCCTTCCATGCCCACTGCCCTCTGGTGAAGAACCTTTCCCTAACCCCAACCAGATGCAGCTCCATGCTGATCCCTTTGGCTCTGTCGCTCTCTCCAGAGAGCAGCTCAGCTCCAGCTCTCCCTGCAGCCATGAGGGGGCTGCAGGCTGCACGAGGCCTCCCTTCAGCCCCTGCTTCTCTGAGCTGAACGAACCAAAGGACCTCAGCCACTCTTCATACATTCGTCCCTCCAGGCCCTTCCCCATCTCTGTAGCCCTCCACTGAACTTTCTGTGATTGTTTCATGCTCTTCTTATTTTGTGGTGCCCAAGCAGTGCATGGTGATCAAGGTGAGGCCACTCCATGCAGAGCAGAGCAGTCTTTTAAAACCCACTTAGGGTCCAAACCTTCCCCTGATGTCATCACCTTGTTTTCACTGCCAGGTGAAGCAGGGTGAAGCCCATCTCATATGTACCAAGGCCACATTCCTACTCAAGAGTCACCTTGTCCACGTAGATTAGATTTATAGCAACAACTTTGTTGTTGTTTTTTTTTTTTAACGTACGTTTACTTATTACTTAAATCTATTGATCCTTGATCATTTCTTCCTCTTTCTCCATTCACAGAATCTTTGCTTTTCTGCATCATCATTTTGCAGTACAATGGGTAAGGGTCACCATGTGGGTCACTCTGAATTACTTTTGCTCTTTTTCTTCATTCCAGTCGCTGTAGAAAATGTTCCTACTGTGGTATAGTTGTGTTCTGACAAAGTTGGTCAGTTGTCAACTTTTCACAGATAAGTTTTGGGATTATTCCTGTACTCTCTCTGCAAAATGCA